AGGGTTTTAGTTTGTTATGGCTGTCATAACAAATTATCACAAACTAGGTGGTTTAAAACCACAGAAATTCCTTCTTATATAGTTCAGATGGGAAGAAGTCAAAATCAAGTGTTAGTGCAACTGGTTCTTTCTGGATGCTCTGAGAGAGAATTTGTCCCATGCTTCCCTCCTGGTTTCTGGTAGCTTCCAAGAATCTTCAGTGTTTTTTGGTTTGTAGTCATATCATTTCCACCTCTGCTTTCATCTTTCACATGATCTTCCCTCCTCTGTGTCTTCTCTTTGGTCTCTTATAAGGGCACTTGTTATTGGATTTAGGCCCTACCCAGGCCTCTTAAGATGATACAAGATCCTAAATTGCCCAGAAAGAACACAAATAGCAACCTAGAATCTAAACAGAATCTGAATGGCTAGGATTAAGGAGAAATAAAAGAAAAGTATTAGGAATGAAATTATTTATATCACATAGGATTTAATTTCTCCATGAGGACAAAGGGAGAGAAGATTCATTGGGGGAATTCCAAATGTTGCTGCCAGATTTTAAAGAGGAAACTGTCCGTGATCTAATAATATTATATTCCAGTGAGTGCAAGAGGTTTAGGTCTTACTTCCAGCATTGTGTTATTTGGGTGCCATTCTTATGTGATGGTCATATATTATTGATAAGATACTGGTGAGTTTAGTTGGGCTGCGCAAGAAATATAGTTTAAGACGGGAAGATACTCAGATGTCAGTTTTATTTCTACTAGGTAGAAAGTTAAATGTGGTCTAGTTTTGATAAATTTCAGGATTTCAGAGGACTCATGGGGCAAGAGAAGAAACCATAAGTGACAGATCAGCCTATCTCACTGCTCCGTTATGGATTCTAGCAGCAGAGCATGGGATTGGATTGACCCCATGGAATAGAGTCACAGTTGTTCCAGAGTCTCAAAGGGCCAGCCATACTCCTTGTTTGGTGCTAAGTTTGTCTTTTAGTTGCCTTATAAGAAGAAGAAAAATTCCATCCTTTAGCTAAATTTCATGGTGCTTCTCTGCATCTCTCTCCCTTATTCTCCAGTTATCTCTCAGTAATATGCCATGACTAAAAACAAGGCTATTTCATTTCACTGTAAAGAGTACTGTGATGGTAGAGCCAGGATTAAAGACCAAATGCATTTAATTGACCATGGTGCTGGAGGTAGGATTTTTGTTGGACCACTTGAATTTGGCAGACAAAAATGTGCTTGCAAGTAAAAGAAAAACATGGCTGAAATGGATTAAGTACAAAGGGAGGAAGCCATTAAAAATCTTCTGCTGTAGTAACCCTTAAAAGAGAAATAAGGGTCTGAGTTCTCAGAGAATGGAATCTCAGAAACACAGGCATTCCCTCTCTCTTTCAACAGCAAAAATTTCTGTTTTCTGATGTCACCTTCATTTTCTTAATTTTCTCTAAGAGCTAAAGACTCAGTCGTTGGCACTTCTGGATTAATTTTCTAAAGTCTTCAGATTGGGGATCCCTGGGTGGCACAGCAGTTTAGCGCCTGCCTTTGGCCCAGGGCGCGATCCTGGAGACCCGGGATCGAATCCCACATCGGGCTCCCGGTGCATGGAGCCTGCTTCTCCCTCTGCCTGTGTCTCTGCCTCTCTCTCTCTCTCTCTCTGTGTGTGTGACTATCATAAATAAATAAAAAAGTTAAAAAAAATAAAGTCTTCAGATTGCCCTGGATCCCTACAAATGTGTCCCTTCAATCTCCAAGTCTGGGCTTCATCATCAAGTTTTGTTTGACCTAGTTCTTTGCCAGTATTATTTGTCTTTAGTCCCCCATGGTCCCCATTTTCCATGGTCCAATTCCAGTGGAATATTACGTTTATTTGACTGTTTGCTCTAGTTTTCTGACTTTGTAAATGAAAAACAGCCAATATTAACCAAAAAAGTCCTATTTATTTTACTTTTACAGTTTCTCATATAACACAGTTTGTGTGAACTGGAGTTAAGGACATTAACACCAAGGCTTTGAGTAGCTATAATTAATTGAATATTACTGAAATACTGTTTTTTGAAACTTGGCCACAGCTCCTTCTCTGAAAGTGTCAGTGGCTGTGAAGAGAATTGTTGGTTTCCAGTATCATTATTTACCACTTAATTGTGAGGCATCACCCTACGGTGTTAACTTGTACCTCATGTTATTTTCCTTCTTCTGGTATAGCAGAATCCTTTTAATATCCTTTTAAAAAAGATTTGTCTAGTACTCCAGAATAATATTAAATAATAGTAGGAAGAATAAATCCTCTAACAGTAACTACTAATGTTCCACTAAGAAACAAAAACTAGCCTACTAAACATACTGGCAAATGACTTTTAAGCATCTCTTGAGTTTAATGAAAGATTTCCTTTTTCCTTTAACTTCATAGAATTAAGTTTTATTTTATTCAACATTCCAATAACCTTACATTCTTAGGTAGATCCCAATTTGTCATTATTTGGTAATTTTTTAAGGGCTGCCAGAGCTAGTTGTTTACATTTAACGGAAGATGTATTAATTAATTGACACATTGCAATATACTAGAGCATGCTTTCTTTATTAGATTTTATCATATTTCTTCAAAACATGACACTTTTTCAGAATCTGGAATCATTTCATTAGCTATTGACTTGTCTTTTCCTTAAATGTCTAAGAGGATACACACTTGGAAACCTAATTTTTGAGGTTGGTAGCTCATCAAAGACCTCAAATTTTCACCACTTATCTTGGTTCTCACTTACTTATAGGTTCAATTTAGCAATTTAGGGTTTTTTTCAGAAATGTTTACATATCATCGGTATTTTTAAATAAGTAAACATGAAAATGTGTCCTTATCATTTTAACACAATTCAGTTCTATAGGCTTGGACAAAAGTATTGTTAAAATAGGGGCACCTGGGTGGCTCAACTGAGTGTCCAACTCTTGGTTTTGGCTCTGGTCATGATCTCAGGGTGGTGAGATCAAGCCTCACGTTGGGCTTGGCACTGAGCATGGAGCCTGCTTGAGATTTCCTCTCTCTCAAATAAAAAATAAAAATAAAAATAATTTTTAACTTTGTGAATGTTTAAGGAGTTTTTGCAGTTTGTTATAAATGTGCAGATTTTATACTTCGCATTGTGTTTGGAATTTTAATGATTTCACTTTTGTATAAGACTTGCATTTGGCTGCTTTCCTGTTTTTCAGTTGTTTCTGTGGGTTATTACTCATATGTAGTACTAAAGGATCAAGAAAATATTTGCTTCATTTTCAGTGGTTAAACCTTTTGAAGAAATCAGTTCCTAGTATTCTTGAATAATTGATAGAAAACTGTCTTATCACATTACTGACTCTAATATTGCTACTAGTATTTTACCATCAAAATAGTATTAGGGGGCACTTGAGTGGCTCAGTCTGTTGAGGGGCCCACTCTTGGTTTCTGCTCAGGTCGTGATCTCAGGGTCCTGGAATTCAGCCCATCTCCAGGCTCTGCCATCAGCAGAGAGTCTGCCTCAGGATTGTTTTTTGTCCCTCTGCTCCTCCCACCTACTCTCTAAAATAAATATATATATTTTTTATGGCATTGGGCATTTCTGAGATACAACTAACACACTAAGAAATATACCCCATACCCATTTTTACTGTTTTTCACATAAATAGTAGGTGTGAGATATTTGTGCCTTTTATCTTTTGGCTAATTAACAAGTCATGGTTACAGATTTCAGGAGATGGAAGAATCCTAGAACTCTTGTAAGGAGATCCTTCCTTATACAGGCACTTGAAAAAATATGCATGCTGATTTGCTACTTGGCTGACCTCCTGTAGGCATGCTCTACAAATCCAAGAGTTGAGTTTACAGATCTCCTTCCTTTGCTTCTAATCTGTTCATGCTCTACCCTCATGAAAATGCAAACCTTAAAATAAGACTCTACATCTTTACTTTTTCATGGGGATTGTGTTGTCCCTACGGCCCTAAACGAAGTTTGCTCTTCTCCCAAGAAGAATGGCACTTCACCCCAGGACCTGCTAGATGGCTGTGGTCTACTCCAAAGGCCTAAAAAGATTCCATCACAAGTTCTGTTGTAAAAAGTACTGCACATTACAGTGAACTACTTCAGAGGCCTCTGTCACCAGTAACTAGAGAATTTTCAGTCCTTTTGAAAGAGTTGTGGTTGATTAGATCCTTAAGTGTTGGGGTTGAATCAGTTATTGTTCTAAGTTTTTGGTAAACGTAAGTTTTTTTTTTTTCTCAGAAATTGTGAGTGGCTCAGAAAAGAGCCTGTGGTTCAGTGTGGGTTTGTTTCCCCTCCACTCCAGAGGCTGGGGTCACCCGCTAGGCTTTAGTGCTTGTGAGGTGTTACTTCCCCTTGGCCTTGTGGTGGCTCTCGGTCTTCTTGGGCAGCAGCACGGCCTGGATGTTGGGCAGGACGCCGCCCTGCGCGATGGTCACGCGGCCCAGCAGCTTGTTGAGCTCCTCGTCGTTGCGGATGGCCAGCTGCAGGTGGCGCGGGATGATGCGCGTCTTCTTGTTGTCGCGGGCCGCGTTGCCCGCCAGCTCCAGGATCTCGGCCGTCAGGTACTCCAGCACGGCCGCCAGGTACACCGGCGCGCCCGCCCCGACCCGCTCCGCGTAGTTGCCCTTGCGGAGCAGGCGGTGGACGCGGCCCACCGGGAACTGGAGCCCGGCGCGCGACGAGCGCGTCTTGGCCTTGGCGCGAGCCTTGCCGCCCTGCTTCCCGCGTCCCAACCCAGCCTAAGAACTGATACATTATAACGGGAAAAAAAATCCGTTAGGGCTGTACCTGGCCTATTTATAGTCTGACGGTAGGTTGTGAATTGCTATTTGATTTGGCTGATAGTCTACCAATCAGAATGTTCCTGGAATCACCTTATTTACAAGCACACCCCTACCCATAGCCCAATCAGATGTTGGCTGCCCACTACGTCATTGAGCGCTGTGCCTATAAATACCACCTTTGGCGTCCTGGAGTGCCAGTTGTTAGGCTCACTGGAGTTTAATCAGTGATGCCGGAGCTGACTTCGAAGGGCACTATCATCTCCAAAAAAGGCTTCAAGAAAGCTGTAGCCAAAACCCAGAAGAAAGAGGGAAAGAAGCGCAGGAGATGCCGGAAAGAGAGCTATTCTATCTACATCTATAAGGTGCTGAAGCAGGTGCACCCCGACACGGGCATCTCGTCCAAGGCCATGGGCATCATGAACTCGTTCGTCAACGACATCTTCGAGCGCATCGCGGGCGAGGCGTCGCGCCTGGCGCATTACAACAAGCGCTCGACCATCACGTCCAGGGAGATCCAGACGGCCGTGCGCCTGCTGCTGCCCGGGGAGCTGGCCAAGCACGCCGTGTCCGAGGGCACCAAGGCCGTCACCAAGTACACCAGCTCCAAGTAAACGTGCCAAGTAAGCGTCTCCTTCCCAACCCCAAAGGCTCTTTTCAGAGCCACTCACTCCTTCACGTAAAGAGCTTTAATACTGAATTGTAATAAGGAAAATCTGCCGAAGTTAAAATGTTTATCTCCCTCAATTTCATATTCCCGTTGTTTTCTCTGTAGCCTTTTTTTTTTTTCCTTTTTTTAAGTTTATTCATGAGAGACAAGCCGAGACCTAGTCTGAAAGAAATAGGCTACCTGAGGGGATCCTAGTGTGGGACTGAGTCCCAGGACCCCGGGATCATTACCCGAGCCAAAGCCAAGTGCTCAACCACTTGAGCCACCCAGGTACCCCTCAGTAGTTTATTTTGCTGGAACAGAGATGGTCTCCGCAAGTGCAGAGCAGAAAAACTTCCTTTGCAAACTAAGACAGTTTGAGCTACTGCTCTGGGTTTAGGGTTTCAGAAGATGGAATTAACTCCGGGCAAAGCTTTTGCCAGGGCTTACAGCTGAAAAATTTTTTGAGTTGTGCGGACGAGTTGAATATATAGGCATCCTTTATAGACGAACCTGTCCAGAGTGTATACTGTTTGGTGAGTCTGAGGCTTTGTTTAGCAGAAAATTGGATACTGTATACTTGGTAGGTTGAGAAACTAATTTCATAGTAAATGGAAGAGGTTGAGGAAGACTTCCTGAAAAGAAAGACTATTGAATTACTCAACTGTGGCTATTCTGCAAGTAATAGAAGCATTCAGGCCTCTAGGATTTGTAAGAGGAAGAAGGGAAAGCAGCAAGAGCAAACAGCCTGGGAACAATGCCTCATTGGAGAAATGTCAGGCAGCCAGCAAAGAAGCCAGGTTTGGGTAACCTTCCCTTAGGAGGCTTGATAGGAATCATTAACAGAATACAATTTCAGCTATAGATGTACAAAATACCTTGAGATTAATCTCAACCACAGCACTTCAGTTACTGTCCTCACTTTTGACAAGTCCACCCTTACAGGCATTTCTCTGTTGGATCATGGAGTGTGGGGCAGGCAGGGTGGTAGTTGGTAGTTGGTATTCCAGGATCATAGATCTGAATGTGCCTCAAATTCTTGCCTAAAGGACGTGTTGAGTGAAAGGACTAGAACTTCTGAGTTTATTTGTTCAGGTAGTGAGTGAGAGCCTGTTAAATTTCAGAAAGTGAGATACTTGGGAAAGAGTGAGCAGGATAAAAACAATCCTTGACCTCACAGGGTTCCTACTCTAGAATGGACATTTAAATAGTAATCTTACAGCCTTAACAGAAGGGGTAAGCCTCTGAGGGTCACTTTAGCATTGCCAAAGCTGAATGGATTTATCTTGAAAAGCAATTCTGGAAGGAAGGTGGAGCAAGAGACAATGATAAGGAAAAAGACAATAAGGAAAGGAAAATCCATGTGCAGACAAAGATGCAGAGTTTGTATTTATGGACTATAGTTAACAAGGGCGAGGTATTTATATATTCATCTGGTTCACAGGAATTTTGTAGAAGTCCTAGTGCTGTACCTTACTAAAATGTAAGATCTTACTGAAATGTAGAAAGGAATGCTAGGATAGTAAATCTTGTCCATTGATCCTCTTAAGGACTATTTTTTATGTACACCTAAGAGTTAGTATTAGATACACTTGGAAGTGACCAACAACCTAAAATAGTCACTGGTTAAACTCGATAAAAGTCTAGTTCTCATGCTCAGGCCTGGAATGGGGACCTGCTCTCCTTAGAGAACTCCTCTCCCTCTGTGTGCAACGTGTGTTTTCTCTATTATTTGAGAATATTCTCAAATATATTCTGCTATGAAAATCTACAGAGGACCAAGACGAGACCAACTAATCAGATGAATAAAACATAAGAAATGTTAGGTAGGTAATTCCTAAGTAAGAAACTTCTAAGAAGTGTTGAATAGATAAACAAGGAATTTTATGAGATACAGGCATAATTGAAAAGCTATATTTACCAAAAATCATAAATTAGTGCCTGGAAGACATGTTTCACATAGAGAAAGTAAGTAGAGCTTGTGGGCTTCACAGAGATAGCACAAGACGAAAGAACCAAGAAGCGCCAGATACTTGTGAGACACCAAATATTTGTGAGGTATTCAGTATTTATGTAGTCTTATATTGTCCACCCACTGGTGACTTCTGCTTTAGCCACATTTGCCGTCTGCAGACAACACCGACATAAAAGGCGTGGCTGCTTGGGATGTAACTGTCAGCCTATAGGGGAGGCCTTGTGCATCAGAAATGGCCTGCCTGGTGGTAATCTGGTATCTGAAGACATTAAGGTCATTTCCTACAAGTGAATCTAGCTGTCAGTCATATCATACCCCTTCCACCTTGTAGTCCAAGATGTCCACTCCAGCTACAGCTATCTTGTTCACTTTCCATCCTGAATGAAGGAGAAAAGGATAAGGAAACACCCCCACCATTTACTGAAGTCCTGAGGATGCCATAAATCTGCCTTTGTTAACATACCATCAGCCAAAAATAGTCGATGGCCACACTGGCTACAAAAGAAGCTCAGGGAGTTTAATTAGTGTGTAAGAAAGGAAAACCCATTTCAGGGGACAGCTGTGTGGTAGTCCCTGCCATAGCTACTATGTAGGTAATTCCTACCTAAGTGGATAATTACAAATATTATCAATAAGACAAGAGGGAAACTGATGAGTTCTTACATCTACAGTAAGACACTGGAGTTTCCTGGTACAATACAAATGAATTGTAAATATTGGCAATACTTGCTTTAGTTGAGGAGAAAACAAAATGATACAAGTCTAGTTAGGAGCACATTTTCCTTTTCAGATGAACGATGCTCAACACAATTGGGAATCCTGATTGAGCTAGGTGGAATCAGTACAAGGCTTGGGAGACCAAGAAGACACGATGGAAAGTGGAGGAAGGCTTCTATATGGTCAGACTTACAGCCTGTGAATAAAGTCAGGCTGAGTTGGGAGTCCAGTGATAGCCAAAGTATTTTAAAGGACATTCCAGCCCAACAATCTAGTAGACAAGTCCCAGTCCTACCTGCCTCAGTTTTGGCTTTTAGGTTCTTTTTTATCTTGGTGGATTTTCTCAATTCATTCAACTCATTGTCTCAACTCATTCTTTATACACTGAACCTCCTAAAGACCCAGTCTTGCCTTTTGTTCTAAAAAACTCTGCTCTCATTTCAAAATGCCCAGACGTGTTCCTCAAAGCCTCCCGTGTCAGGAATACCTACATCACTCAACTCTATCTATCATTCTATCAAAGCACAAAGGTGAACCAGGCATGGTCTCTGTTATCCAGGACATGAAATATTGTCTCGTAGAGAAAATAATAATGTACGCAACTACAAAAGAGCAATAAAATATGCTTAAAATTGGAGGGATTTGAGGCCCAGAGCTTGGGCTGAAATTTGTTTCATCGTTTACTAGCTAGGTGACCAGAGGCATGGTGTGGAACTACTCAGTTTGTTTATGTACTTTCTTCTGAAAAATGATGACAGTGATTATTTGGAACCTCAGATCTCTTTGTATCTTAAATAAATTATCACGTAGTTAATACTCTTTCCTTAGCTACTGGTGTCCTTGAAACAGGCTGGCAAACCTCCATGAGATAAACACTTAACCATTCCTGCCCTTGCCTCTTGGATCACCATCTAAATTGGGTGTGCTCAAGAACATGGAGTCATACTTTTAAAAAATATTATAAACATGTGCATCAATACTGAATTTACCTAGAAACTCCAGCCTGAGAAAACAGAAGACAACCCTGGTTCTATCTAGTTGGTCATCAGACCTGTGGCCATGACCCCGAATTTTCTACCAGCTTAGGATCTGTTTAGTCACAACTGTAGCTTCTCTGTGGAATGATCTTCTCACAGGTGTGTGCACACCTGTCTCCTGTCTCCCTCTTGGCTTCCTGCCTCGGCTCAGTGGCGTCTTAGTGGTGAAATCTTCCCCACTCACCCTGTTTAAAACCACAACCCTCTACTACCCATGCCTCCACTATCTGGCAGTCCTTAATCTTTTGGCCTGTTCTCTCTCTCTCTCTCTCTCAAAGATTTTTTTTATTTATTTGAGAAACAGAGAGAGCACATGTAGGCAGAGCAGCAAGCGGAGAGAAAAGCAGGCACCACACTGGGCAGGAAACTGGACACAGGGTGGATCCCAAGACCCTGGGATCACTGCCCAGAACAAAGGCAGACATTTAACCAACTGAGGCACCCAGATGCCCCAATCCCTTTAATCTTGTTACCTACCAAAATGCTATATTTATTTCCTGTCACCCACAAAGAGGGTATCCGTGAGCTCCACACAGGGTACTTTACCCATGTTATTCACTGCTCTGTTTCTGGCACCTAGAACAATGCGGAGCACATAGCAAGCACTCTAGTTTTTGATGGAGGGATGAAGTAAAATTAAACTATGCAGAGAACATGCAACAGTCATCCATTCTCTAGTACCAGAGATAAAATCCACGACTGAATTATTCTACTGTGTGAATAGTTCACCTCAGTTTCTTTATTTGGGCTACTACTTTTATCAAGTCATGGGAATTGAGCAAATTAAAGTTTCAGACATGAAGTCAAACATGTCCACATAGCTAGTTTTGCAACGGTCATTGCCCAAACTTGCGAGAACTTACACCTGCACCTTACATCTGCACATAGGGAGAGGCTGAAAGGAGGGGCGGAGGACACAACTGAAAGCCCAGGGAAAGAGCAAATGTCACGTACCAAACCTCCATCTTTTAAGAGCTCACCTTAACACCAAGAACCAACTTCAAACAGGTTTAAAAAAAGACTCGAAATTGAGGGGACACAATTACAGCAATTTTAGAGAAAAAGTGGGTGGCTCTTAGAAGAGCCTTTGAGTTTAATTCAATCAGCGGGGGAAGCTTTACGCCCTCTCCCCGCGTATGCGGCGCACCAGCTGGATGTCCTTGGGCATGATGGTGACGCGCTTGGCGTGGATGGCGCAGAGGTTGGTGTCCTCGAAGAGCCCCACCAGGTAGGCCTCGCACGCCTCCTGCAGCGCCATGACGGCCGAGCTCTGGAAGCGCAGGTCGGTCTTGAAGTCCTGCGCGATCTCGCGCACCAGGCGCTGGAACGGCAGCTTGCGGATCAGCAGCTCCGTGGACTTCTGGTAGCGCCGGATCTCGCGCAGGGCCACCGTGCCGGGCCGGTAGCGGTGCGGCTTCTTGACGCCGCCGGTGGCCGGCGCGCTCTTGCGGGCCGCCTTGGTGGCCAGCTGCTTGCGCGGGGCCTTGCCGCCCGTCGACTTGCGCGCCGTCTGCTTCGTGCGAGCCAAGACAACCATACAGAAACGTAAACTGACGGAAGCAGTCAGCTGCTGGTTCTGACCTTATTTATAGATCAGTCGGGTTCGTAGGTCCCGCGCTGTTATCTAATTGGTTCTCAGGTTGCTTTCCTGAGACATGATTGGATTGCCATGAAGGATTGAATATAGAAACATTATTTCGTTACATTTATTCCTAGTTTACTTGAAATTGAGGTCATAAAAGCGAGGTTTCACTTAAGAGTGGATTTGAATGTACTTAATTGCTCTTTTTGTAAAAAGCCAGAAAACGAACACAAAATATCTAGTAAGAGGATCCCTGGGTGGCGCAGCGGTTTAGCGCCTGCCTTTGGCCCAGGGCGCGATCCTGGAGACCCAGGATCGAATCCCACGTCGGGCTCCCAGTGCATGGAGCCTGCTTCTCTCTCTGCCTAGGTCTCTGCCCCCCCCCTCTCAATGTGTGACCATCATAAATAAATATTAAAAAAAAAAAGTCTAGTAAGAATACAGTCGGCCGTAAAACTCAAAAAGCCCGCCCTTATATATGTGATTGGAAAGGTAATGGTTCTTTTCCTCCTCAGTTGTTACGTTTTAGACTTTCGGACCGTAACTTGAATATACCACATACACAATTACGAACGTTTTTATATGTAAGCTAAACGATTTCAACATGGTTTCGATTGCCATCTTTGTCATTTACCTACCTTATGCCACTACGCTAGGTCCTTCAACACTTGAAATGAGCACTACGTAACAAGAACTGAATCAAGAACATAACAAGAACTGAATCACTTCTTAAACAGAGAAATTTTAAAAATCACGTCACCTAGGGTTTTTAAGTATCCCAGCGCTTTCCACAAAATATGGGTGGCTCTGAAAAGAGCCTTTCATTTACGGGATAGGGGCTGCTGGGTTAGTAAAGTTTCACTTGCCCTTGGCCTTGTGGTGGCTCTCGGTCTTCTTGGGCAGCAGCACGGCCTGGATGTTGGGCAGGACGCCGCCCTGCGCGATGGTCACGCGGCCCAGCAGCTTGTTGAGCTCCTCGTCGTTGCGGATGGCCAGCTGCAGGTGGCGCGGGATGATGCGCGTCTTCTTGTTGTCGCGGGCCGCGTTGCCCGCCAGCTCCAGGATCTCGGCCGTCAGGTACTCCAGCACGGCCGCCAGGTACACCGGCGCGCCCGCCCCGACCCGCTCCGCGTAGTTGCCCTTGCGGAGCAGGCGGTGGACGCGGCCCACCGGGAACTGGAGCCCGGCGCGCGACGAGCGCGTCTTGGCCTTGGCGCGAGCCTTGCCGCCCTGCTTCCCGCGTCCCGACATCAGGAATCTCAGCACACTGCAAGTGGTTGCAAAAGCGAAAGCGAAGTCGAGCACCTTTTTATAGCCCCTGTTGGGCGCGAAAAAGAAGGTTTTGCATTGGTTACGGTTGCGGCTTTATCTTAACCAATGGAAATGCAACTTTCGGATTCTCGCGTTTTGATTGGGCAGAACTGATTTCTGACGTTAGTTTGAATAGTCACCAATCAGACACAGGACTTTAACTTACACCTAATTTGCATGAGAGGTTCTATATGAAAGGGACCAGCGGCACTTTGCTCACGCTTCACTTTCTTTTCTTTTCTTTGAGGAAGGTCTGTTTTCTCTCCATCATGCCCGAGCCCGCCAAGTCCGCGCCGGCCCCGAAGAAGGGCTCCAAGAAGGCGGTGACCAAGGCGCAGAAGAAGGACGGCAAGAAGCGCAAGCGCAGCCGCAAGGAGAGCTACTCGGTGTACGTGTACAAGGTGCTGAAGCAGGTGCACCCCGACACGGGCATCTCGTCCAAGGCCATGGGCATCATGAACTCGTTCGTCAACGACATCTTCGAGCGCATCGCGGGCGAGGCGTCGCGCCTGGCGCATTACAACAAGCGCTCGACCATCACGTCCAGGGAGATCCAGACGGCCGTGCGCCTGCTGCTGCCCGGGGAGCTGGCCAAGCACGCCGTGTCCGAGGGCACCAAGGCCGTCACCAAGTACACCAGCTCCAAGTAAACGTGCCAAGTAAGCGTCTCCTTCCCTAAACCTAAAGGTTCTTTTAAGAGCCACCCACATTTTCCAAAAGACTGTAGGCTCTTAGTTGTAATATATGTGGGTAGGTCTAATGACCTAGAAACTGTTGGTCCAACAAGCAAACAGATTTCTTCTGATTGCAAGGTTTATTTTGCTCACACCATCCACTATGTTTGAGAAATAAGGTCTCAGTGCTTACTTGACTATCTTTTAGTTCTTAATACCTTACTGCTTTGTTTATGCATCTACAGCATTTTCAGTGGGACTTGAGATCTAGGTGAAGCAATTCAGAGAAGGGAGTTATTTGAACAAGTTCAAATGTGTCCTCCGGGAGGTCCTTCCAAGGGCTACGAAGGCCATGAGGCATATGGCTTGCCTTTCTCCAGAAAACCTTATTACTATAGAAGTACTTTGTATCAGATGACAGCAAAAGGAGCCTAGAGCTGTGGAAAGACTACAGCCCTTAGGACAGTCTAGGGTGGGAGCATTAGTTAGAGCTGTTTTGCTTCCTCTTTACATTGGCTGTGGTGTGTGAAAAAAATTCCTGTAGGTCAGGCTAACTGCCCATAAGCTACTATTTGAGGCCCAAGGCCCAGAGTTTCTTGGTCTGATTTCATCTAAACATTTATTCCAGTTTCTAATCTGTGCTATTTGTTGAGAACAGGTTCACAGAATGTGTGGAGATCTTGCTGTGTCAACTATAATTCACACTAGAACCCAATAATCTGGCTAAACCATCAATTGGCAAACAAGTAACAGTAATAGAATTAACTTTTTTTCATAATTTCTTACAGGTTATAATAGAGTTACTTTGTTGGACCCTGGCTCACGGGTGCCAACGTGGCCCGGTGGACGCCCCAGAGACCCAGACCCCAAACAGGCAGATGCAATTAGCAAGAGGGTTTATTGAACGTTTGCGCAAACGGGCTCTCCGAGGAGGAAAAGAGCCCCGATTAGCAATTACTGGGATCTTTTAAAAGGCAAAAGAAAAGAAACTGCCTAAAGACAAAAGAACCGCGGGAGTCGCATGGCCTCCAGGTTGATTTTGGGGAGGGTCAACATGAACCTATTCAGGGACATTCCAATCAGGGTGTGGGGAGGGGGGGGAACGGTTTTCTTATTGTAAACAGAATGCTTTTAGTTGCTAAAATTTCAGGAAGAAGACTGGATGGGCTGCCTCTGGATTAGGGCTGGCCCTACTTACAAGGGGGGAGGTTTCTTCAACTTGTTTTTTGTTTTGTGATTGGATCGTTAAAATTGAGTTTGTGCCCTGAATTACTGGACTCGAATACCGAGATGTTCCAAATTGTAGATACTGGCAATACAGTATTTATCAAAATAGGATGCCCAGTATGCAAGTCAGAAGACTGGGGGTACAAGATCTAATCTGTCATAATCATGTAGACTCTTCTGAGCCTACAAGCATTTTAAAAAATCAGCGAAAAAGGCGAAAGAAATTAACAAAAAAGAAGGGATCAAATTATTACTACTTCCCAGAAAACTGTAGTCAGCTGGAATCCTCAATTTGACTGTTAACTTTTATTTTTATTCTTCCCTTTTTAAAAAGACTTAATATATATACATCTTCTTTACAAAAAAATTAAAAGCAAACTTTAATACCATTTGATTGAATATGTATAGTAAAAATTCATGGGAAAAAAGGGTCACATGCTTCTATATATAGTGAGACAGTCCCTGCAGAACCTCTGGATGCCTTAGCTGGGAGTCCTTGAAGGAGCTAATAGATGGTACATCTGTGCCAAATTGTATAGGAAGGAGGCATCATCTTCAGTCAGGGGTCCCAGCTGCCCTGATAAAACCTCATGAAACAGCACAGGTCCCACATCTTTATCAACTTCTGGAGTTGAAAAGTATTGTTTTTCAGGCTGGTTCTTTCCCTTAGCAGCATGTATTTAAGATTTATCCATTTTTGTTATGTGAATTGATATCTTGTTCTTTTTTATCACTAAGTAACTCTTTTGTATGGCTATACCACAGTTTGTCTATTCATTTACCTATTTCAGGGGATCTTGGTTGCTTCCACTTTTTATCCATTGTGAGTAAAGTTGTTATAAGTATTTGTGTGCAGGTTTTGTTGACATAATTTTTAAACAGTTGGGTAAATATCACCAAGAGCACAATTGCTGGGTTGTATGTGTCCCTTTATAAGGAACTGCTAAACTGTCTTCCAAAGTGGCTGTGTCATTCAGCATTCTCACTAGCAAGATTGAGAATTCTTCTTGTTCCATACCCTTGTCAGCATTTGGTAATGTCATGTTTTAGATTTTAGCCATTCTGACAGGTGTCTAATAGCTTACTGTTTTAATTTGCATTTCCCTAATAACAGTTATGTTCAGGATCTTTTGATATGCTTATGAGCCATCTGTATATCTTTTTGGTGAGATGTCTGTCCATATCTTTTGCCTATTCTTTTCTTTTTAAGATTTTATTTATTTATTCATGAGAGAGAGAGAGGCAGAGACATAGGCAGAGGGGAAGCAGGCTCCATGCAGGGAGAGACGCTCAACTGCTAAGCCACTCAGGTGTCCCTCTTTTGCCTATTCTTTCATTGGGCTTATTTTCTTACAGTTGAGTTTCAAGCATTTCTTAAAATATATTCTAGATACAATCCTTTACACATACATGATTTGCAAATATTGCAATATGAAATGAAAGGCAGACTTTTCATTCTCTTACCAGTGTCTTTAGCAGAGCATACGTTTCTAATTTCAAAATATTTTGAAATTAAATGCAAGCCACATTATAATGAAATATATTGCAAGTCACACAAATATTGGCTACATATGGCACTTTAAGCTTTCCAGTAGCCACATTTAAAGTAGAAAAAATAAACCAGTGAAATTAATTTTAACCAAATATTTTAATCCAATATGTAAAAAATGTTACAATTTCAACATGTAATAAAGGTAAAATTATAGCAATTTACAGTTTTAAAAATTAGGTCTTTGAAATCCAATAGGTATTTTATACTTATAGCATGTCTTAGTTCAGACTTGCAACATTTCAACTGCTCAATAACCACATATGGCTGGTCCACCATACTGGACACTATAGCACTAAATTAACTCTAGGCAGCCTAAACCACACTCCTTGCTCTAAACACCTATGGCAGACTCACAAATTTGTAACTGCAATCTAGGGCTCTCCATGAATTCCAAACTAGTAAATTCAACTGCTCTCTCAACATCACCATTTCAACATTGTGCAGCCACATCAAAATTCTCTCCACAAGGGTTCACAATCTCTCTTGACAGTGTTTTCAATCTCCATGGTTCATTGTATCCAAGCCAGAAATATGGTATTTTTTTTCCTTGTTAGCTCCTTTTTTGTTTCCACTTCAATCTATCTACAAGATATGTTGATTTTATTTCCTATATATTTTTGTTATCTGACCGCTTTTCACCTTGTCCACTGCCACCGTTTTTGTCCAGACCCTGTCATCTATCTCACATCTGGATTATTGTCCCTAGCTAGCTAGTCTCACTATTCTTAATCTTGTCTCCTTAAAATCCACTCTCCACTCAACTGACAAATATAGATGAGAAAAATTTTTGTTTTCACTAAACAATAACTGAAATTTAGCATTCCTTTCAATTATGAATACTGCATAGCAAACAGACCCGTCATACTAGCCATACCTGTGGCTATGTTGACATTGGAAATCACAGCCATATTCCTAGCACTTTCCTGTGGTTACAGATATCTCAAAATATTGTTAATGCTCACGAGAACCTAAAAAATATTATAATTGTTATTTTACTCTGAAGTGCCAATGAAGAAGCACAAATATAACTATATCAGACATTTAAAAATATTTTGAAAAAAATAAAAATAAAAATATTTTGAAAACGATTTCAATCTGGTGTTTTATTATTAAAGCTCATATTTTGGGGTGCCTGGATGGCAGAGTCTTGGTTTTGGCTCATGATCTGGGGTCCTGAGAGTGAGCCCTGTGTTGGGCTCTGTGCTCATCATGGAGTCCACTGAGACTCTTTTTCTCCCCACCCACCCACACTTTCTCACTCTCTCTCTCTCAAATAAATAAATAAATCTTAAAAGAAAAAAGCTCATAATTTATTGTATTTACTCAGATATTTATCCTAAGATCTATATAAGATCAACTAGACTTCCAAAGAAATCTATAGTACAGTAAGTTAAGAACCACTGTCTAAGGATTCCAGCAAACATCTTACTCATAAAGTATACTGGAGACAGTTAAAAAAAAATCAGACGACAGAATTATCCACATTTTATTATCCACATGGGGTCAGATGACTGAATTTTAGCTTTTAGACTGATTCCTTCCTCCAGGATGCAGACTCTCTGGCCACAGAGTCCTGGGATTGCTAGGCTGTCCCATTACATCCATGCATGAGTGTCTGTGTTTTTATCAATGAAACAATTTCTCACATTACTTCTGCTATCAAACCCCTATTGTGAGTGGAGATGAAGAGCTGAAGAACTTGTAGGTCAGATGGTAGCTAACATTATCTGGAAGGTGAATCTTTATGAGGAAATTCCATTTATCGGTTTCCCTAGGGCAGCTGCAACAAGTTACCACAAACTGAGCGTCTTAAAACAATAAATATTCTTTCACTGTTTTGGAAGTCCAAAATCAGAGGGTTGGCTCCTTGTGGAGACTCTTAGAGAGACTCTGTTCCATGTCTCTCCCTGGGCTTCTGGTGGTGGCCAGCAGTCCTTGGTGTATGGGCTTGCAGCTGCATCACTCCAGTCTCTGCCTGCCTCCGGCTTCAGATGGCCCTCTGTTCTGCATCTCTGTGTCTGTGATGTCCTTCTCCTTCTCTCATAAGGATACCTTAAATCCAGGATGATCTCATCTCAAGATTCTTTTTTTAAGATTTTATTTATTTGAGACAGCATGAGAGAGCATGAGCTAGAGGAGAGGCAGATGGAAAAGGAAAGGAAGACTCCCCACTAAGCAGAGAGCCTGATGCAGGGCTCCATCCCAGGAGTCTGGGATCATAACCAACTGAGCCACCCAGGTGCCCCTCAAGATTCTTAATTATGCTCTGTTTCCAAACAAGGTCACATTCATAGGTATGAAGGGTTAAGACTTGGACATATCCTTTTACAGGGCACAACTGAACCGATTACATATCACAAATTAACAAACTGCCCCTAAGTTTTAGCCTAACATCGATTCACACAAAATTTACATTATGCTATCTGGGCTGACGTGATTTATTGACTGATGAGTGGGAAAACAACTCTGTTTTGTTTGGGGTTGGCAGGTCCTGTCTCAGAACCTTTAGATTGCTTCTTGATGCCAGTGGGCTTGGTGACCTTGAGCATGTTGAAGTACAATGGTCTTACTCAGGGGTGGCAATTGTCTACTGTGATGATGTTACTGATCTAGGCATCCATAAAGCAGGAGGACAGGTATAGGGACGTTCTTAAGATGTTTCTCTAAGTAGTTATACTTTCAGATGTGGTAGAGGCAGTCTTTCTTGATGACTAATGGTCCTCTTTATCTTCATCTGGTCACCACGCCAAACACCATTCACCCTCAAACGGAGACACTGCCAGTAGAGGGGCATTTCTTGTTAATGTAGGTGGCCTCAATTGCCTCGTTAAGCATCTGGAACCCCAGACTGATGTTCTTGTGGTATCATAGGAGCTTCTTCTTGCCAGTTTCTCCAAGCAGGACTTCTTATTTTGAAAGATGGTTGGCTGCTTTGAGTAGGCAGGCTCACTCTGAATGTCTACAGTCTTCCTGGTCACCTGAGAAAAAGCTGGACTGAAGTAATTTAGACTAAATTACAGACCACACAAAGCCTATTTGGGGGCACCTAATTATCTCCCTCATTCATAACTGAGCGAGACCTTGTGAGTTTATGTCTGCATCACTGACTAGAAAGGAAACACAATGAGAGCAAGGACCTCCTCTGTCTTATTCTCTTACACACACACATTCACTTATTGAGCAAATGTTTGAAGTATAGAGGAAAAGGAAACACAATTTTAAAATCTTTTTTGGAAAACAAAATAAAGAGTAATAACAAAATGTAGCCACTTTCTCTGACTAGCCCTCCACTAAAGGGAGAGCCATACCTGCCTGCTGGTGCAGTACAGTGAGGACTTAAATTGGTCTGGCTCATTCTGGTTCAGCTCCCTGGGTTTCCTTTGCTCTGCATACCTCATGGTCCCATCTGAGATGAGACTGGGAAGTTACTCCTTTGAGAGCTGAACCAACAGAGGTCTTTCTCCTGTTCTGGGTTCAGAGGTATTATAGCTTTAGTGGAATTATACCATGTTGAGCACCTGAGCTCAACAGGCTCAGGTGCTCTGTCCTTTTTCCAGCACTTTTCTCACCTTATTGGCACTTATGTTTTCTGCTCTGTAGCATAGTAACACCACAGTCTAGAATTAACGAGAGACCACTAATACCTCTCCTGCTTCCAGGGCACATCTCAACCAGTAATCATTGCAGTGATATTAGGGTGAAGTAAACAGCTAGAGGTGCTTAGAGTGGGGAGCACCTTCAGGATCTGCTTTCCCCAGTTCCCAAACCCAACTTCACTGTATTTAAAGCAGAGCCCTAGCTCTGCTGTGGCCCTTTCCACAGAAAATTCTATCCTGCCAATCCTCTATTACTTGAGGTTTGAGATGCCAACAATAGGCAGGCAGCACCTTTCTTAAAACACACATTTTAAAAACCTGAAATAGCAATAACAACAAAAACCCCTGTGTTCTCACTGCTTTCCCATGGATTGTCTTGGACAAAAGCTTTCCTCTTATTTGTCTGATATTATGCTAGTCTTCCAAGGTCTCAAATCCATTCTGACCTCCTTTGTGCCACCAAGTTCCTGAAAGGTGGGTTCTTGGTCTGCATTTGGTCTGCAAATCTGATCTTAAGAAAGAATTTGACCAACTGCTTTGCTTTTCTAATAACAAATGTTTCCAAGTTCCTAGTGGAAAATGAAGAAATTCATATCTCTCAGCAACTCTTACATATTAACGAAGATTCAGAATATTTACAGAACCTGTGGGAGTAAGGGGAAACATAGCTTACAGGAAAAAAAGATAGTTTAAATGCTTACATTAAGGAGGAGGGGCAAGACGCCGGAAGAGTAGGGTCCCCAAATCCCCTGTCCCCACCAAATTACCTAGATAACCTTCAAATCATCCTGAAAATCTACGAATTCGGCCTGAGATCTAAAGAGAGACCAGCTGGAATGCTACAGTGAGAAGAGTTCGCGCTTCTATCAAGGCAGGAAGACGGGGGAAAAGAAATAAAGAAACAAAAGGCCTCCAAGGGGGAGGGGCCCCGCGAGGAGCCGGGCTGAGGCCGGGGCGAGTGTCCCCAGGACAGGAGAGCCCCGTCCCGGAGAAGCAGGAGCTGCACCAACCTTCCCGGGCGGAAAGGGGCTCGCAGGGAGTTAGAGCAGGACCCAGGAGGGCGGGGATGCCCTCGGGCTCCCGGGGACACTAACAGACTCCTGCGCCCGGGAGAGTGCGCCGAGCTCCCTAAGGGCTGCAGCGCGCACGGCGGGGCCCGGAGCAGCTCGGAGGGGCTCGGGCGGCGGCTCCGCGGAGGGGGCTGCGGGGCGGGAGCGCGAATCCAACAGCGCAGACCCCGGAGCACAGGGCGCCGGGACACAGCCCAGGATCCGGCCTCCCCCGGGACAGGCAGAGGCCGGGAGGGCCCAGGACAGCGAGGACGCTCCTGCCCTGAGCTGAGCAGATCAGCGGCCCCGCCCCGGAGCCTCCAGGCCCTACAGACGGAGAGCCGAGAGCCCCGAACCCCGTAGTTCCTGTGGAGGCTGAATCCAGGGCTCCAGAGCTGGCCCTGCCACTGGGGTTGTTCCTCCTGGGGCCTCACGAGGTAAACAACACCCGCTGAGCCCTGCACCAGGCAGGGGGCAGAGCAGCTCCCCCAAGTGCTAACACCTGAAAATCAGCACAGCAGGCCCCTCCCCCAGAAGACCAGCTGGACGGATCAGTTCCAGGGGAAGTCAAGGGACTTAAAGTCTACAGAATCAGAAGATACTCCCCCGTGTTTTTTGTTTGTTTGTTTGTTTTCTTTTCTTTTCTTTTTGATTTCTGATTGCTCCCCCACCCCCTTTTTTTCACCTTTCTTTTTCTTTCTCTTTTTCTTTTTTTCCCTCTTTTTCTTTTTTCTTTTTCTCTTTTCTTTCCTTCTCTCCTCTCTTTTTCTCCTTTTCCCAATACAACTTGTTTTTGGCCACTCTGCACTGAGCAAAATGACTAGAAGGAAAACCTCACCTCAAAAGAAAGAATCAGAAACAGCCCTCTCTCCCACAGAGTTACAAAATCTGGATTACAATTCAATGTCAGAAAGCCAATTCAGAAGCACTATTATACAGCTACTGGTGGCTCTAGAAAAAAGCATTAAAGACTCACGAGACTTCATGACTGCAGAATTTAGATCCAATCAGGCAGAAATTAAAAATCAACTGAATGAGATGCAATCCAAACTAGAAGTCCTAACGACGAGGGTTAACGAGGTGGAAGAACGAGTGAGTGACATAGAAGACAAGTTGATGGCAAAGAGGGAAACTGAGGAAAAAAGAGACAGACAATTAAAAGACCATGAAGACAGATTAAGGGAAATAAATGACAGCCTGAGGAAGAAAAACCTACGTTTAATTGGGGTTCCCGAGGGCGCCGAAAGGGACAGAGGGCCAGAATATGTATTTGAACAAATCCTAGCTGAAAAGTTTCCCAATCTGGGAAGGGAAACAGGCATTCAGATCCAGGAAATAGAGAGATCCCCCCCTAAAATCAATAAACCCGTTCAACACCTCGACATT